CAGCTTTAACTGAAAATGTCAATTGTCCCTATTTAATTATAATATATTTTGGTTCTGTATTTAATAAAATTTGATGCTACGTTATTTCCTTTTATATGAACATTTAGTTTATGATGGTCCCTTCATCTATGGAGATTTTCATTTCGCTGTTATTTCTACTTATTTGACCGCAGACGATAACGAATTGTCTTAACATACACCTGTATGGTTAGTAATCAACCAGAATAATTTCCTAGTAAGAGACAATAAAAATGTGTTGCATTATTAAAGGATGTGGCTAGAGAACAACCTTGTATAATTTTGATTTATTCACCTGATCTGTCACGTGCGTATTACCTGGAAAATTAAAGTTATTGTTCATATTGCTAAAAACAGACCTACAGCCAGTCACGCATGCATAAGTTTATAAGTTCCATTTATAACTTGGATCATTCGTGACCTTGACACAAGATTTCTCCACCAAATAAAAAGAACACTGTATTGAGGTAGTTATAATTACAACTTTATTGAATGACATTAAGAAGCTTATAGATACTTATAGAGATAAGACAAGTCTACGAATTTTAATTTCTTCATTCTCAAAAATAGACTGAATTACATATATACAGTGCAAAACTAGGAATCGATTCAATTCACTGCTACTGATTCATGCTTAATATAAATGTAATATTGTGCCATATTAATAAACATCTATCGCCCGCCACACTAAGAATTTAGAGCTAACTTTCAAAATACTTACTCTGCGGGTCGTCCATTTCCTGCTGAATAATTACGTTAAGGTTATGAATGCCAGCATATTGTAGCATTAGTGTATTGCTTATGTTACACGGAATCATAAACATAGATTCATGTTTTAGTCATATTTCTTTTATGAACTACCTTATCACAATTTCAGTCAATAATAATAATAAATGTCATGATTTTGAGCATTTCATTCAATTTATTATTAGATCTACACAAGTTAGCCTTTACCCACCCAACCCAACCCACCTTTCTCCACCCACTCCACCCCACCCCATGCCACCCACCCACCCCACCTTACCCCCCACCCCATTCACCTTACCACACCCCACCACACCTCAATCTGTTACAACATGTTGTGAGCTAAATGAGACTACTTCTAAGATTTGAACAATAATTTTGATTCCAATAGAGTTTTAACGAAAGAAATGGTTGCACTATCTGTTTAGATATACACATGATTCATTCCTACATTATGCATGAATATGTAAGATATACATAATTATAACTTGGGGCGCTACTCGTATGGTCTTCCAAGACTGAGCTGCCGATGATGATGATGATGATGATGATGATGATGATGATGATGATGATGATGATGATGATGATGATGATGATGATGATGATGATGATGATGATGATGATGATGATGATGATGATGATGATGATGGTAAACTAGGGGCACCTATAAATACTTAACATTTAAAGAAATATTATTGACTAGAACGTAAACGTACGTTTAGTAAGATACAGCAATGAGAGCTAGCTATATCACAAACGAAAGTAACGAACGCAGATTTGACTTTTTAGATTAGTACTCAGGGTTGGTGCTGGTGCAGTGAAGCCAATCATTGACATATTGGTTTTCTCAGAACCCTGTTATGTATACCCTCATAGACTAAGTAAGAGTTGGTGTTTTTTTCTATTGATTTTCAAGACACTTTGAGCATAATATTGGGCATATCAAAGCCTGGAAATGTTAGCTCAATGACATGCAGAAGGATATACCAAATCAATCAGCCTGCGCTGGCGAGGGCAAGTCTTGAACCCCGACCCTTGGATTACGAGTCAGATGCTCTACCAACCGATTTACCTCGGCTCCAAAGTATGACATGAAAGGTTACAGTTTGTTAAATTGTGCTAACACCTTATTATGGGAATTTGGAGATGTGATCAGAGGTTAATAAACTGAAGGCGATCTGATTTTATGATCATGGCATTACATCGCAGGAGAATATATCGGATAATTGGTTGATTGCATGGCTCTTGAAAAATCCTTTTAAAATCTACTGTTTGTCAGCAATTTGTTAAATAAACCAAATTATTCTCCTTTGGTAGCCTCGCGTAGAAAAGATATTTTCAACTGTAATTGTTAAATGTTTTCATTTTTTGTGTTCATTTTTGTGCAGGTTTGAGAAGATTGTGGGGGAGGAGTTGTAATGCGAGGGTAGAATATTCCTTGAAATTGACCGCTCCCTGGCCTATTGGTTAAAGAACTCCCCTCTGGTGCGTGAGGTCGCGGGTTTGAATTCCTCCAAGTCGTACCAAATACTTATAAAATGGTACTTACAACACTAAGAGGTTAGTGTAATGACTGGTCGGCCTGGTGTCTGGATTATTATCACTGTGTGTGACATAATGTTACATGTCTGCTGTATTATGCCACAGTGCTAGACATCAGTATAAGCAATCCCATTGCTGACATCGCAGCAATACGAGTGAAAAATTGTTAAAACTACGTTAAAAATCCAAACCACACATACACATGCCCTCTAATATTGATAGCGAGATGATGCATGCACATGCTTTTTTATCGTTTGTCATTTCCTGAGTAATTTTAACTAGATTTATTTTACAGCTAAGATCAAAAGGCCGCAATAATATGTTCACTCAACCGAAATTACCTCACCTTTTAAACAATAAAGACCTAAAGCTTGAACTGAAATTTTAATAGTATTCGTTACCGATAATAATAATAATAATAATAATAATAATAATAATAATAATAATAATAATAATAATAATAATAATAATAATAATAATAATAATAATAATAATAATGTAATTATATTCATAGTGTTCAAGTTATATATCGCGTGCTTCGCGGGAGTTTTATCAGTATATACGGCCTACATTCGTTCCGCTCATTTCACAGTTCACCTCGATGGTCGCTTGATAACATTTAAACATCAGTTATATCTAAGGAAAAATAACATTTATCTGTTTTGGGGAAAAATCTCCAAACTCTTTATCACCTATTTGGCATTCTGTTATTGGGGCTAGCCTCACTGTTGTCAACAATTCCTTTTTGAAAAGCAATATCACAATTCAGAGTTTATTTCAAATTCAAAACAATTATTTCAATATTGACGATTGACGTTGTCAGACAAGCTTTGGAAGTGGAAACGATGCACCATGGAAAAAAAAATGCACACAAACTTGGCAGAATATGTCCTTGTATTTTGCAGATGGAAAAAGATCGTAATTGGAAAGGTTCATTCAGTGATGCTAAGGAATATGTGAGTCATGTGAAATTCAATTCAAACCGCAGGAGACCGAGGATGACTAAATGCAATCTCTGGCGTGCTGTAAATAAAATTTCATGTACAGTAAATTACCGTATAGTTATCTGACTTATGATTGTTTATCACAATCAAAGGAAAAGTCTCTTAACACAAGCAATATATATTGCCTTGCTTTCAAAAGTTCAAAAGTAATTGTATTAACCCACAGTTGACTATTTGACTTATGGTTCATTGTGAGGGTTAATCTAATTTCGCTTGAGGCAGTGTAATATATATATATATATATATATATATATATATATATATATATATATATATATATATATGTGTGTGTGTGGGTGGGTGGGTGTGGGTGGGTGGGGGTGGGGGGGTGTTGCATTATAGACAGTGTAATGAATTGAAATGAAATGATTTGAATTTTTTTTTGCTAATGGTGTTTTAGTCATTAACATATGGACGGTGATCGAACCCACATTCATTAGATCTAATGTTGATCATGTAACCGTTAGAATAGGGCCTCTAATGAATAGCAATTGTATATTAATATGCAGTGTATAAAGGCCGTATAGATTACCCATACACACTTAGTTACAAATCAGTTATGTGACTTTAAAAATACTAAATATTCTGAAATGACAATGGAGCCTTAAAGGATTATTTTTAAAAAGGGTTCCTCAGACTAGTTCAATTCTTTAGTTCAGTAGTAAGGTATATAACGTGCACGTGACACCATTTTTGAGCAAATCTTTACAACTCAGAACACGTTTAAAATAGACCTCTTACTGAAACAATAGAACGTTACGGAACGTTCGTGTACCTTACTTTATACAAGCTCGTGGCAGTCAACACAAAATTAACACAACGTGACATAGCCACCAATCTCGTTGAAGTTTGTGCTGGGCTTAACGCCAATTATTCGTTGGTGTATCTAAATAAACATTCGCACATATAAAACATATATGCAAAAGTTACATAATGTTCGATTATTTCCACTCCATACATTTCTAAATTTTAAAGGTTGGTTACAAACTGTGTCCATTACACGTTAGGCACTGTGAATAAGGTTCTTGCAATGTTTAAAACTATATATCTTTTACAGCAATCGCGACACAAGCAATTACTTACAACTTAAATTAATTTATATCGTCGAGTTTTATGTGTGATTCTTACTGTAGTGTGTGTGTGTGTGTTTGTGTGACGTGGACTTTTAACCTAGCTTTAAAACATTTTCAGTGATATCTCTACGATGTCTGCCGTGTGGCAGTTTATTGTGATGTCTATCACTGGGGAATTATGCCTCAGACATAGAGTATGATGTCCCACCTAGTCAAATTATCATGACACCAGGGTAACCAGTCCTAATACTAACCTCTTAATGCTGAGCTCATATCGGAGCAGCTGTTAGTACCATATTTTAAAGTCTTTGATATGACTCGGACATACATGTATGCATGTATGCATGCATGGATGGATGGATGAAAGCATGCATGCATGCTTATATGTATGTGATGTGATTATCATTTTTAACGTAGCTTTAACAACTTTTCAATCATATCGCTACGTTGTCAGGAGTGTGGCAGTTTATAGTGATGTCTTGTACTGGGGCATCATGCCGCAGACATGTAGCATGATGTCCCACCCAGTCACATTATCCTAACACCAGGCAGACCAGTCCTAACACTAACCTCCTAATGCTGAGCGACAAGCGATGCAGCTGTAAGTACAATTTTTGTAAGTCTTTGGTATGACTCGAATGGTGATAGAACCCACGACCTCCCGCAGCCGAGGCCGACGCTCTAACCACTAGGCCACAGGAGCGCTTTATGTATGTATGTATGTATGTATGTATGTATGTATGTATGTATGTATGTATGTATGTATGTATGTATGTATGTATGTATGTATGTATGTATGTATGTATGTATGTATGTATGTATGTATGTATGTATGTATGTATGTATGTATGTATGTATGTACGTGAATATATTTGCGTGTGTTCTTATGTTTTATCCACAGTAAATATATTACCGATCATACATTTACAAATGTTTAAGCAAATGTTTTTCTGTTGTGTGCATTTAAGAAATAAATATGGGAATGCTGTAAAACAAAGTTTAAATCTCTAATCTGCACGGGAAAGAAAATGTAGCTAACAACATTTGCCAATTAAATAATTTCCGTTTCATTGCCACCCTCCAACATGCATACATCTTGCCCACACAGCTCATTTTTGTAGTAACCATGTTATTCATTATCCGATTTAATTATCTGTATATAATGCTTGTTTCAAAGATAAGCTAAAACATATGTCTGGGGCATAGTTTTTCGAGCCTTTTTTTCCTCTTTCTAAAGTTTGAAATAAAGCTGAAAAAATTTCACCAGGGAGTATATATTGCTCTGTGACCCAAATCAATTATTTCTCCAATAAAAAAATGCTATATAACTTTCCTCATAGTGCATCCATTGTGCTAGGACTCTACACCCGTTCCACCGCAACAAAACATTGATCAATAGACTCGGTAAGATTTCGATTATATATATACTAAATTTGGCTGATTTAGAAGTTGCTGAATTAGAAAATTTTAAATTTTCAATACTCCAATCTCTTGGAATATTCCCTTAACGGAAGGTAGAATGTGTATTAACAAACACAATGCAAACCATAGGAATAACAGATTACAATTCATATTCATTTGTTTCAAAATTGCCAGTTTACCCAGTCTGATCATAAGGTTTTATTGGTAAGTCGAATATGAGTAATCCCACTTTTACTAAATTAAACACCACATTTGATATTATTCATCAGTGTCTTCAATCCCAACCGTAATACTGTCTGCGGACGAAATTGTACGTTTGATTTATGTTTTGTTATAATTGTAAGCGTCTAATTCGCTTGTCAGATTGTTTCACTTTCGATAAGTATTTTCTTATCTCTAAAAGATTTCGACTTCCATGCTAGAAATATTACATGGTTTTCTTTACGTGCATGACAATAAAAAAAATTCAGTAAAAAGTTATTTAATCCTCCTCTCTGATATTAAATCATGAATGATCCTTTGCTAGGGAGCTGAAAAATTTGGTTTCGGATTTTATACATTAATTGGCTTCATTAGATTTAAAAGGGTTAAACAGATTTAATTGATGTTAGCATTTGTTCTACATTACAAATATTTATAGAACAATTATTGAACAATCAAAGTCAAACAGTGACCCAAAATAAACTTATGTTATATTTAAAGCATATAAAGGAATATGAGAATAACTTTGACTACATTGTACCGACTATGTTTTGCCATATCTCAAATCATACAAATTAAAAATAAGGATGAAGAGGATAAAATCCTTAAAATGCTAAGTCAGATTGTTGGTATAAACTTAACTCTTCAAAATTCTCCAAGACCATTTTAGCATTCACAAGTGCTGAATTAATAACCAAGCTAAGACATCCAAAATAACATACTGCTAAAAATATACAAGACTAGTCTTTCAAATTTGTCCACTTCTAAAGATATAAAAAAATCATGCACACTACTGATATTTGCGACTTTATTCATTGATTAAAAAAACTGACTAGGAACCCTATCTCGTTCTTAGAGAGAAATCAGATGGAAGTTAATTGTAATATATCTTCAACTTTTTTTATCTGGCTGATGTCTTTAGCTGAGTTGTTATCCTAATAACATTTTTAAAGTTAGATTAGAACATCCACAAGTCCTGCTTCATATAAACTCCATTTGTAGCAATTTACATTCTGATTTGTCTACATTATGCACGTGTATCTGTGCGTATGCATAGGAATGTTACTTCTATTAAGCAGAGTACTTTATCTGATAAAATGTGACAGCGAATGGCAATGCTTACTGATGCAAGCAGGTACTCCACCTGTAAACAAATTACCTCCGTGACAATATTGTAGTAGTTGATCTTTATAACGATGCATGTGAGTGATTTTGACATTTATATTTTATCGTAATGGAAGTAATTTAGAAAACAATTCAAGTGCCGAAAAAAATTTCTTACTTTCATGTTTGAGATTGCATTAGTTTATCCAATAATTCACAATATCAATGCATTAGTATATATCATTAGCAATTATGGTATATGCTTTTTGTCCTATGTCGGTTATAAAGAATATGCAAGTGACTAATTGACTAGTTGATTATCACTGGCTAAAACTATCCAAAAAGTAATCAAGACATAATCCATAAAAATGAGGTTATAGTCGAAAATATTATATAAAAACCGCATTTTGAATCAAAATACGATCAACTGTTACTGTGACATGCTAATATACAAGAACCTGTTGCAGGCAGGATATTAAATAGATCAAAACATGCAATTACACTCCGTTAAAAATGAACCCAATAAGATGAAATATTTAGAAATCACAATTATCTTATCCTAGACAATTCGCCTACTAAAATTGCACCAAATTACGTTTAAGCGTTGCTAATTTTTTGTGGTTTAAAGATGTGTTTATACACAGACGACCTGAAGATGGACGTGAATAAAGGTCAATACTATAAATAACAAGTATTAATACAAATGTGCGCTGAATTCTATTACAATATATTGAAGTTAGAGGTAGATTTTTTACATTCCCTACCACTGCAATTAGCTGATATAGCTCAAGTTAAGGAACAAAGAAATCTGCACAATCTAAAAATTAAGTACACAAGCTCTATGTTTGGCAGTTTTAAATTGTGATTTGCTACTGGTCTGTATTTTAACGGGTCAAATCAGTATGCAGTACGGAAAACAAAAATGACCATAAATTGGAAATAAATTAATGGCATTGACTTAAAAAGGTTTCATATTTAAGGATTAACATGATATAAATAAATCAGAAACGAAACTATGAACTGTATTCAATCCTTTCATTTTACATTCAAAACCTTAACAAACAAAAAAATAAGTAATTGCGATGCATGCATGTAATAACATACTTTGCAATGATCATATGAAATTTCAAGGATGAAGTTACCCCAATTGGTTTATTGCAGCAAAGAAATTTTGTAAAATGAAATTTTTTGACATTAATATATAAGATCAGAACTTAATGTCATTGGACCTGATTTTGATATGCTCCAGGTTAAAGCTAATTATTGTTCAATAACACAACCAATAATAATCATGCAAAGACAACATAGTATATTTATAAATGTAAACTTTTTACAATTTCTTCAACTTGACATTGCAAAAAAGTGTTGTGGAAAGTAGATATAAAACAATGGTCTCGTTGAACACAATGTGCACCCTGCGTTTCATTTTCCTTCACCGGATATAAGATGTGTATACCTTTTATCACAGTATATCCCTTAATCGTGGACAATATGGCACCAGATCAATCATCCTGATTTAAGTAATTTGGAAATGATGCAACTTAGCAGATGTATTGATTCGTTAAAGTTGATTAGAGTCTAACATTGCTATAATGTTTTGTGTATAATTTGTTATGCTTCTAATTTCTCATGCACAATGAATTCATAAACAGTCTTCCTTTGTTTTGCTTTCTTTTTCTATGAATTGAAGTTTGTTTAAATTAATAGACTGAAATTGTAGTAGAGATAGGGAGGTAGAGACATGATAAACTTACTCATCATTACAAACAACAACTCACTAATATATTTAAAGTATTAAGAACCAAAACTTTGTGATCTTATTGCATCCACATCGTCATTGACCTAACCACGAACGCAAAGGTTTAATTCTATAGTGAAGAAAGAGAGAAGATAATTATAAAAAGTGGAGGTTCATGGTACATATACATATAAAAGACAACAATGTGGATACGTGCAAGTTTAATTCTTTTAATTTACATGGACATAACATGTGGTGTGTTCTCAAACTTTAAGAGAAATAACGTACTATTGCCACATTTCGGTACTGAGTCATAGAGCCTTTAGATATTCAGTAGGAAGCAAATCAGATCTAAACATTTAGGTAGAAAGTTCGCAGCACATCTTTACTCTCACCCCAGGGGCGAATGTGTGTCCTGAATTTCTGGACCTCCCAGACTAAAAACTGTACATACAGACAAATGAACAGCCACTTGTCACATAAAATATAACCGTCGTTTTATTGTCGCGCACGTTTCATTGGGTATTACCCATACTTTGAATAAATTTACACATCGATTTTTGCTTTGGTTCTATTTCGAGGAAAGTCAGTACTCTTTGAAATTTTGGATCACCCCACCAACACATGCTTTGATCCGGCCCTGAGGATATACTACTAATGCCACAGCATTTTAGTGTAAATATGCGAAAGTTTATACATAAACACAAAATGCAACTATCATGTACTCTAAGTGATTCCTGCCACTACATATGAAAAATAAGCAATACAGTTATTAGATAAAATATTGCATATGATTATAAATATATTGAATGCGATACATTTATCTGAGTTCAAAGTGAAAGCAAATGAAAAGATTCGTTAAAATGTCTTAAAATTCATTTAGCTATTATTTTCGGAGAATTAAGAAATATTTTAAAGAAATTGTGTCAACATCACCATAGATTAACGTTGTAAATGTGACCTTGCTTCTAGATTTACACATGCGTTACTGGCTGTATATCAGTTTGTTTTTAAACAATTAATAACATGAACACTTTACACATGGTGGACTACATGAATATATCAATGTTGTTCTCTGATCATATCCTTGAAAAATGCGAGATACCTTTATTATTTTTGGTGTTGGTCATGAGTTGTCGTTGATTACTAACCTCGTAGGTTTCTGTTTTCGTCATCAACTGAGAGAGAGAGAGAGAGAGAGAGAGAGAGAGAGAGAGAGAGAGAGAGAGAGAGAGAGA